AGAAGGGTTTTGGATGGAGAATTTCCAAAGCAGACCCTGACACTGCTGCTGACMGTCAACAACTGCTCCATGCCTGGTTTGGTGCCTTAAGGGAGCCACAAAGGAAGGCTCAGAAATCAAACATTCTGAGACACTGCCTCAGAAATCAAACATTCASCCCAGCTCCCAGAAATGCCCTCTGACACCTTCCCACCACCACAGGACCAGCAGCAGCAGCACAGTTATCACTGAAGGATCCTCAAAGGAGCTGAATCATGAAAACACAGCACAGATGAACTCAAGCAGCCTTTTCTTTTTGTGAATSGCTGCTTTGTTCAGGAGAATTATTTAAGGGAAGCAATGAATTCACCCAATAATTACAATTTCATTTCTCTAATTCACTCTTCAGGCCCCTGTTAAAGCTTCACATGAAGCAACGCTCAGCAGAGAACAAACACAAATCTGCAATTGAACCTTTCAGAAGGGAAAAGAAGTGACAAGATCATTCCARCCCCACAAGGCTGTGAGTCCATCAGCGTGCAGGTTTTGTGATTTCAGCTGAGCTGCCCTTTTGATGCACCCACAGTTGGCTCCGAGAGCACTGAAACCTTTCCAGGCTCAGGAGAATCCACTTTGTGGTGGGTGACACCTATTCCATGCCCCAGACTGCTTCTCCTAAATGATYTTGTAACTTCTTTTCCCTTTTGAAAAGTCAAATTGTTGTCGCTTTCTTCTCTCAGGGAAGTGCTGCGATCTCAGTGTGACCAACCCCACAAAATCCAGAATTTTCTCACAGTCACAGTGTGGAAACACAGCCTTTTGGACTGCTCAGGGATTCCTTGAGACACCAAAACCAACAAATGCTGCTCAGAGAGATGTCTGCGGACAGGAGCTCTGTAGGAGAACAGGATAAAGTGTGGATCTGTGCTTTAGGAACCTGCTTTGCCCTGGCCTTGCAGAGGAGATTGTCCTTGGGGGCTGAACGGGAGCAAGAGGGAGAAACAGAAAGACTCAAAGGCTGGAAAACTGCACCACAGTGACCAGGATCAAACTGAACCCACGGTGGGTTCATCACACACAGAGCCTGAGAGATTCCCCTCATCCTCCCTCCATCCCCACCCAAACCCACAATTCCCATCCTCACAGCTCGAACACCACAATATTGGCCTTTCTGCAGTTATCCCAGTTTAGCCAGAAACTGCAACAACTGGAAGCAGTTCATTCAATGAGTTAGAAGGAGAATTATTTTATGTTCAGCCTAACTTGAGAAAAACCTGGGGAAATCCTCCTGAATTTCTGTGTCCCTCAGGGAGGTTGAGCCTGAGTGCTGGAGGGTGTAAAAAGGTTTGGATTCAGATTTACCTGCTCCTCCTTCAACCCTGACACCAAAACTCGCTCCAGAGTGAACCCCACTCACTGCATCAGCACACGGGAAAGGAAACTGCAGTGCTGAGGGCCAAACTCACAGAAAAACAGCCCAAACTCAGAGAAAATATCCCAGACTTACAGAAAAATACCCAAATTCACAGAAAAATACCCCAAACGCACACGAAAATACCCAGATTCACACAAAAATACCCAAATTCACATGAAAATAACCAAACTCACAGGAAAATACCACAAACTCATACAACAAATGCCCCAAACTCAAAAATCCCCCAAATTCACACAAAAATGCCCCAAACTCACACAAAATACCCAAACTCACACAAAAACACCACAAATTCACACAAAAACACTCGGCCATATAAAAATTCCCCAAACTCATACAAAAATACCCAAATGCACACAAAAAATAACCAAATTYACATGAAGATGCCCCAAACTCACAGAAAAATATTCCAAACCCACATAAAATATCCCAAACTCACAAAAAA